AGGTTCTTGTCATCGCCTCAAGCTCCTACAGTGCAAGACTTTGTGTTGAGCCCTGGGCATCCGGCCCGTGAGTTCCTCAACCCAAAACCGACAAAAATGTAGGGTAAGCTAAGAGTAATAACCTACAAAATCGTAGGTTCTGGGTTCTTGAGGGTGGGCTTAGTTAGAGGTTTCGGGTTTTGAAGAGCTAGCATTTCGGTTTCGGCCTTGAGGCAGAGCAGGGTGCAGAGGTTTAGACAACAAAGAGTAGATGAGTTTCGAGGTTTCTTTTCTTATTGCTGTTGGGAGCGAGGAGGAGGGTGGGGCTTCTTTGCGGTCGCGGGCCAACGAAAGGATGTGGGTGATCCCGATCGCAGACGTGCTGACGCTGCTTGGCGCATGTGCTCGGCTTTTGGCATGGTCTTCTTCAGAAGTGAAAACTAGCTGTTTTGCAGGTTTTGTGTGGCCTGCAACACAACACTTTGGGGGTTCTTTTTATGGTAGAAGGCCCGAGAGCATCGGCAAATACCAAAAACGTTGCGGGTGGGGGGGCGGGGGGGCAGGGGGGTTAGGGTTTAGGGTTAGGGTTTAGGGTTTAGGGTTTAGGGTTTAGGGTTTAGGGTTTAGGGTTTAGGGTTTAGGGTTTAGGGTTTAGGGTTTAGGGTTTAGGGTTTAGGGTTTAGGGTTTAGGGGGTCCCCCTGAGATCGAGGATGGTTGGCCCTCCTCCTAGCCACCAGAAGCTCATGGAGCAGGGCCGTTTAGCCGCCTCGCCAGAACATTCCCTGCAGGGGATGCGTGCGCAGAGTTGGGGGTTTGCGGGCTTCTAGGGGCAGGACAAACTCTGTGGTTCCTTTTAAGGGCTCCGATTGTACTGCGGCGCAACTCTTACCTATAGGTGCCCAAAAAGACCATCAAACTTAGCGAGCTGCCCACTGGGCGTCATGTTCTGATATAGAACGTGTACACTCCCTAAAGCAATCCCGAGGTGACCGAACTCGAACTCCCTACAGAGAGCCCGAAAGAAGTCTACAGCTGTGGCCCCAAGAGCCCGAGAAATGTGTCGAAAGGTCGAGACGTCTTCATGAAAACCCCCAAAAGGTGGTGGAGTGCAAGCCCGATAGCCCTAAGCCCTAAACTTTCAAGCCTAAACCCCAACCCCAAAAGCAAGCACACACACACACAGACAGAGAGGCAGAGACAGAGGCAGAGGATTTAGGGTTTAGGGTTTAGGGTTTAGGGTTTAGGGTTTAGGGTTTAGGGTTTAGGGTTTAGGGTTTAGGACCACACAAAGAGAGCATAAAGAGGTGGAATGCAAGTTGGACTTCCTGGTGATCTTCGTGTCGCACCAGTGGCTGGGCCTGCGACACCCAGATAGCGCTGGCGAGCAGCTTCGAGTCCTGCAGGTCGGTGTGTGTGTTTTTATAGGGCTTCTAGGGTTTATAGGGGTTTATAGGGTTTATAGGGGTTATAGGGTGAACCTCGTAAAGCCCCTGCCAGGGTCATGGGTTATAGCGTTTATAGGGTTTATGGGGTTTATAGGGTTTATAGGGTTTGTAGGGTTTATAGGGTTTATAGGGTTTATAGGGCTACAGTAGACAAGAAACCTCTAAGTTTTGGCCACACCCATTCTTGTTCTGCTGAGCATGCTGAGCAGCTCATGTTGCTGAAGTTTCCTTGTTTTCTGCTCCTTTTTTTGCCTCAGCAAAGTTATCAATGGTAGGCGTCGATTTCCCTCTCCTTTACTCGGCCATGATCAGTCAAGCGTCTTCTTGTACTGTGGTGTTATGGTTGGGGCGGATCCTCTTGCACTTGTGGAAGACTCGCAGATCTTTGGCTTTTTCGAGCCAGATTTTCTCAACAGAAAGTTGCGCCACGGGGAACAGGGGGCCCGCAACCCTGCCCAAATGCCCTCTGAGACCTCTGCACCTTTGCGATCTCCCTGGGGTCCCCATTGGGCGTCCTTCCGTAATTAAACCTTATAAACCCGAAACCCGTGGCCTGCCGCCTTGGACGCGGGAGGCTTTTCCGAATTTTTTTGGAACGCGATTGATGTGACTTCTTCGCCATATCACAGCAGGCCCTAGACCCTCCTCAACCCGAACCTTGGTAGAGTGACAGCACTGGTTAAGAAACCCTCGGTTTAAGAAACGTGCATGCGCGCCGCTGGACCCCGGATACAAGATGCGAAAAATAAGCTAAACCCTAAACCCCAAACCCTAAACCCTAAACCCTGAACCCTAACCCTAAACCCTAAACCCTAAGAGCAAGACGAAATGAAGAAATCGGGGGGGTACCCTCATCCTGGAGCGTTGCAAGCCCCAGGCGCTCCAAAAAGGCCCCGACCGGTTTTTCAGTGGTAGCCTTTTGCCCTTTTAGGGTTCGAGAATGTCTCAGAGAGAGTTTAGGGTGTGGGGGTTCGGGGCCAAGACCCTATAGCCTCAGACTAGGCTTAAGCTGGGCTACTTTTCAGCACGACTGAGAGATGTGGCCTCTAACCCGTGAGCTTGTGGTAGGACGCGCTGCGGAATATCACGAGTGGCAACTTGCAGGCAGGCTGCTTGCTTACGCCCTGGATTGGCCTCTGCTGCCCTAAGCCCGACATCCCCATAAACCCTGAACCCTATAAACCCCAAACCCCAACCCCTCAGAACCTCCTCAACCATCAGTCAACCTTCAGCCCGAAAGCCCCCACACCATAGCCCTAAACCCTAAACCCCAAACCCCAAACCCCAAACCCCAACCCCCAAACCCCAAACCCCAAACCCAAAACCCCAAACCCCAAACCCCTAACCCCTAACCCCTAAACCCCTAACCCCTAAACCTAAACCCCCCCCCTAAACCCTAAAACCCCCTAAACCCCAACCCTAAACCCTAAACCCTAAACCCCAACCCCCTAACCCCCCCCAAACCCCTAACCCCCTAACCCTAACCCCTAACCCCCCTAAACCCTAAACCCTAAACCCCCCTACACCCCTATTCCCCTACACCCCTAAACCCCTAAACCCCTAAACCCCTAAACCCCTAAACCCCTAAACCCCTAAACCCCTAAACCCCTAAACCCCTAAACCCCTAAACCCCCAAACCCCTAAACCCCTAAACCCCCAAACCCCAAACCCCAGACCGCATCGAAGTGACCACCCTGCAGCCGGGGGGATGATTGGGAAGGTGGAGAATGATGTGATGTCCCAGATGACTCTCAAGTTCCGCAAGTTCCGCGGACGGAGCAGTTTCGGTGATTTCAGGGATTTAGGGGGTTTCGGGAACTTAGGGGACTTCGGGGACTTAGGGGATTTACGGGATTTCGAGGTTTCAGGGTTTAGGGTTCAGGGGGATTTTCTTATACTACTCAAGTAGGAAGGTCGGTACCTTTACACCCCTCCTTGAAGGGATCTTGCAGGGACCCTGGATAGCTACGCTCATGCAGATGTTGGGGTGAGTGGAGATGGGGTGCCAGCTGACCTCAGGGTAGTAGCTGCAGGGGTGCGAACATGAGCAGGCCGGTAGCCTAAACCCTAAACCCTAAACCCTAAACCCTAAACCCTAAACCCTAAACCCTAAACCCTAAACCTAAACCCTAAACCCTAAACCCTAAACCCTAAGCCAAACGAGGCTGTCACCGGCAGAAAGAGATCGACTTGCCCATGCCTACATCTGGATGGAGCCTCCTCTCTTCAACGCCGTGGGAGGGGTTTAGGGTTTAGGGTTTAGGGTTTAGGGTTTAGGGTTTAGGGTTTTACAGAGTCGACCCAGGAGTGGCATTTTGGAACTCCATGGAAGTAGACTTCTTTGCCAAAGCCACGTGCGCGCCTGAACCATGGGCTCTGTCGGCATGTAAGGACTGGTTTTGTGTGCCGCAGATCTCGCAGGTGGAAAGTCGCTCTGATGCAGCCAGCAGTTGTTGCTGGTGTGAGGCCCTTGCATTCCCTAAGCCCTCTTTGCAAGACAGCTGGGCACAGAAAGCCCCTGAACACTATATTCGTGTATGCAATGAGGCCTTAGAGTATCGGGGCAGAGGTCCATGACACGGAAAGAGCATGGCCTCAAAGTTGCACACGCTACTCGGCACAGCGCTGGCATGCCTCAAAACCCAGTGCACCCCAATTCCCAAGCTATCGGGAATCGCCAACATGGGGGTTTCCGAAGTTCAGGGACCCCTAAACTAAAAAACGACAAGCAGACAGTAGGAATCCCTTATGGTAAGAACCCAAGAAGGTACCCCGAATTTCGGAAGCCACCACACATTGCGCTGCAGGTATGCACTCTGATGCAGGGCTGGTCTCCACCGCACAGGATGCCTACAACTGCATCCGCTCCATCCCGCGCCCTCGCAAAAAAACAGGGAAGCTGTTGAACTCATGGGGTGCCGACTCCGGTTTAGGGTTTAGGGTTTTCGGGTTTCGGGTTTCGGGTTTCGGGTTTCGGGTTTAGGGTTTAGGGTTTAGGGCTCAAGACCCCTTGTTGGGGGATGAGTGGGGGCTCAGTGGAGATAATTGCTGCAAGGCTTTGTTGGGAGGAAGGATTATGCCGACGGCAAGACAACCTCCCAGACAGGGTTTCAAGCACAGAGTCCTTAGTCGGCGTGAGTGTTGTTGAACCCTACACCTTTTTGCATCCAGGTCTCTCGCAGCCAGCCGGGTTAGAGTTAAGTCTGAGGCCTTGAACCCTACACCTAAAACCCCAAACCCTAGAAACAACAGGTTTGGTAGAGGCTTCCAAGTTCCTGCGACAAAGGCCACGGTGAGGACCTTTGCTCAAAGTCCTGTCTGCACTTGGGGAGGGGGTGAGCACGAGGCATTCAGGACCTCGAATTGACTTTCGTAAGGGTAATTCATTATATTGGTTCCTTGCATATGAAAATAACATCCTTGTGGTAGGAACCCGGCGGAAGACAGAGAATTGACGCCGAGGTTCTACGTGGACACCTGCGAGATTTTCGTGGCGCTGGTTCCGAAGGCGCTTCACAACAACCTGGGCTGCGAGTGCCTTGGGGACGAAAGGAACCTTAAAGGGGTTTAGGGTTCATATGCCTTGATAGGAATTAGAGTAGTGCAGGGTATATGGCCCCAATTTTAGGGCATGTACTACCTTAATATATTAATAGGAGTTACAGCAGCACAGGGGTATTATAAGTCCCCAATTTTGGGGCTTATTTGGTCTCCAAGGTGCAGTTATCGAACCTGGCTGAGGCGTGGCTGGTGCCGTACAGCCGCCCAGCTTGATTCGACGCACAGACATGAGAGCTCTTACCCAAAGGATCCATGTACCTACACAGTAGATACTTGGGCCTTAAAGGGGTTCCTATACTATGACGAATCCTTAGGGTTACAAGTGGCTTGGCGTCCGTTGTGCCATTCGCACGGCGAGGAGGGTTAGTGTGAACAAGGTGGGTCATGTTCGCGTCGACATGCACGACTCCCACACGCCTTTGGTAAGAATTAGTGGAGGGTTTAGGGTTTCGGGTTTAGGGTTTAGGGTTTACCTGGACCCTCTGTGTACGTGAAAAAATGGCCACAAGCCAAACTTGCACCAAAAACAGCCAAAATTCTCCAAAACAAGCATTTTTGACCAAAACAGCCATGACAAACAAAAACTGCCTTTTTCCCGTTGAGGGCACGCGCGCCCACATGCAAAGCCAGACAGTGCTTCAGGGTTTCTTCTTCGTAGCGCATGTCGACCAAAGGTTTGCTTCTGATGCCATGACAATTGGAAGCTGCAGGTCAGGGTTCTCGGCTGTTTCAGCGAGACAAGAAACGAATTCCGACAAATTCCGCCTTTTTCCGGCTAATTCCGCCTTTTTTTCCGGCCATTTCCGCCTTTTCCTTCAGGCTTTCATGGCTTGGCTTCAGGCTTGCGTGTTTTTTGAGTTTGCAAATTCAGGGTTTCTGCTTGTGGCTTCAGGATTTCGTTGCTTCAACAAGCAAGAATCCGCAGAACACGTAGCAAGCAAACGTCCTCGAGTGGAACACCGTCACAAATTTCAAAGTAGCCTTTTTGTGGGCTGCCTAGCCAAATTCCGCCCCACGGGCTGTTTTTGGGGTCCATTTCTTGAAAAAGGCTGTTTTCATGGAAAGGCTGTTTTTTCACGTAATTTGAAGGCTCCAGGTAGGGTTTAGGGTTTAGGGTTGCCTGTGCTGGCGTCCAAGGAGATGTGGTGCAAGCTGCTGTCTGAGAAGAGCACCATCCCAATCGTCGTGATTTCTGGTGGCGAGAAGGTGTCATGACCCAACCTTTGCGTCCATTACACCTTGCGGGTTTAGGGTTTTGGGTTTAGGGTTTAGGGTTTAGGGTTTAGGAAGCCCTGCCTACCGCACGACAATCATTTGAAGCTCCTTGATCGCTTTCAAGGGTCACTTCGATGGCCTAGATCGAAGGCCTTCTCCCATTTTTTTGGCAACCTCCTGAAAAAGCCTAGAGTAGATATGGTCAGGGTACCGACTTCGAAGGTTACGTTTTACCACATGCGAAGGGATCTTTATGGCCCTCTGAAGGTTGCCAAACTTCATGTGCTGCACGTAGCACTTGAGCATGAGCCCTAAGCTACTTTGTGGTCACTTCTCTACATGCGGTCCCCTTTTACGGTGCGTATGCGAGGCGGCCCTAATGTTTAGGGTACCTTGAAAGAAGGGACCATCATGTAACTCAGCACCCTAAACCCTAGGCATCGAATTTCGAGAATTCGCCATGTGCTGAGGCGGAGTTCATCTCCCCCGTGCGTTGGGTGCACCTTAGCCGGACCGATTCGGGTTGGGGAGGGGGGATCACAGCTGCCTTAAGGGAGTAATTAGCGGTTTGGGAGTGATTAGGGGTTTAGGGTTTAGTCGGGAATATATGCAGGGTGTAGGCACGTTGGTGCCATGACAGGACTCTGTTCTTCGTTTGGGGCTTGGCATGTGCTCGGTGCATCATCGGCGGTGTTTGGACAGAGCTTGCAAGAAGAAGCACTGCTGTGTCCCCAACCCTTAGCCCTTAATCACACCCTAAACCGCAAACCGAAACCCTAAACCCTACACCTTAAACCCGAAACTTGTGGGAAATCTCCTAATCTGCGAGAAGTCTGTGGCACTGAGGCACTACCCTGTTCACCAGGGAGACTTCACGGTGGAGGAGCCTTGGGCCTGTTCATGGGGAGGCATGGGGAGGCGGTGGGGTTTAAGGTTTAGGGTTTCGGGTTTAGGGTTCAGGGTTTAGGCGCTTTAGGGTTTAGCATCACGGGGGATCTCGGGATTTGGAAATTCGGGGAGGTGAGGCATCCCGTTGAGAAGGCCCAAGCCTTCGTCCTCTGACCCCCCCAAATCCCCCAGACCCACCCGAAACCCAGGCGCTCTGTCCCCAAAGGGCGCAGCTTCCCTCAAACCATGAAACAACATGCTGAACCCTGCAATTCCCAAACCCGAAAACACATCCAGTCCTAAACAGCCCCTAAACCCTAAACCCTAAACCCTAAACCCTAAACCCTAAACCCTAAGCCCTAAGCCCTAAGCCCTAAGCCCTAAGCCCTAAGCCCTAAGCCCTAAACCCTCCGCGTGCGTCCGAGGCGGACCGGTGCTCTTGCAACGAGATTGTGCGAACCGCCCTGGACTTCAAGCCTCCCCGCCATGCTGGTGTTCGATCTCTTTTGGGGTTCAGAGTTTAGGGCTGGGGCAGGGCTTAGGGTTCAGGGTTCAGGGTTTAGGGTTTAGGGTTTAGTTGTGCAGGGCTTAGGGTCCAGGGTTCAGGGTTCAGGGTTTAGGGTTTGGGCGTCTCAAGCTTGTTTTTGGAGGGGGTTTAGGGTACATCCCCTTCTGAAGTACAGGGGCTCCTGCATTGGGGCGTCGTCCATCCTTCTTTTGGCTAAACCCTAAACCCTAAACCCTAAACCCTAGACCCTAAACCCTAAAACCTAAACCCTAAACCCTAAACCCTCCGGCTCGAAAGCGAGGTTAGCTGGCTTGCGCAACGACCCCAAGAAGATTGACCTCTACAGGCCGTATTCGCCTTCGATTCTAAGGAGATAGCCCCTGGAACCCTACGCCCTTTAAACCCTAAAGGTTCTTACAGCCCACGAAGTTCAGAGTTCTACCCTTTGTTTAGATCCCCCCCGCCCCCCCTCCCCCAAGGTTACGGCACGGAGTTGGTCCTGAAGTTCTCTTGGAGGAACGCTTAGCTTTAGGGTAGACCCCCAAAAAGCCCTGAAACCTAATGCCTTGACCCATGCCTTTTGAAGCCACACTGAGGCATTGTGGTGGCTCTTTTGCGGCTCTTGGTTTAGGGTTTAGGGTTTAGGGTTTAGGGTTTAGGGTTTAGGGTTTAGGGTAAAGGGTTTAGGGTTTAGGGTTTAGGGTTTAGTGCTGTGATTTGGTTTGGTGCATGTTCAAGGGCCTTGTGGCTGCCTTTCAGTGCCTTTAGGCTGGTTTCTTTTGTGGCGTTATTTGTGCTAGTTCAGGGTTTAGGGTTTAGGGTTTAGGGTTTAGGGTTTAGGGTTTAGGGTTTAGGGTTTAGGGGTGGGTGCCTTGATAGTTTGAGTTGTGTTTTTTGTTTTTGGGTTAGGGTTTAGGGTGCCTTGTGGTGCGTTTTTGGTATCTTTCTTGGTTGGTGCCCTCGTTGAAGAGATGCGATTTCAATTTATTGCTGGGAAGGTTTAGGGTTTCGAGCTGCGAAAATGGCTTCGAGCTGCATAAGGGGCAGCTTGGGAGGATTTGCGGATTTAGGGTTTAGGGCCGTTTAGGGCTTAGAGAATCTATAGCCGAGGGGGATTTCAGCAGGTGCTCAAAATCTTACCCCCCCCCCCCCCCCCCCCCCCCCGGGGTACGCTTGTGCGTTGGAGACCTATGCACTGCAAGCAGGTACTACATGTCCCGCTACGAGGACTTCTGCGGCCAGCCAACACGCGGACGGTCTGCTGCCTCGGTGCTATGGGGTGTTTAAGCTTTAGGCTCTCGGGGTTTGCAGGCTTATGCCCTTTTGGGATTTATTGGGGGTGGTGGTGAGGGCTTAGGGTAGGTTTCAATCGGATTTGGGCATTGAGGGCCCATCTTGGATGAACAGGTTCTTGAGGTTCGACTGCCACATGCTTTGCTAGGTTTGTCCAGGTGTTTCTGTTGCAGGTTGTTTTGTGGCTCAAGGCTTTGGGGTTTCCTTGCCCAGAACGTGAGAGCCGAAATGCCAAAGTGTTGGGTTTAGTTTGGATATCCGTTTCTCTCTTCCCCCTCCCTTGTGTGAAGCCTCCTCGCTGCATTGTCATGTTGTGCTATGTCGTTGTATGTGCGATGTTTCTATGAATCTACTGCATGGTAGCATGTACAGTCGGGTGTGAGATTGCATTTTGGGTGGGCTGCTTTTTGGGAATTCTCGAGTGCTTGTGCTACACAGCCCAACACCCCAAGGGGTGCCTTGTGTTTTGCGCTTCAGAGGGTCATGTTTAGGAAAGATGTTCAGAGAGGTTAGCCCCTAAACCCTAAACCCCTGTAGAGCCCAAGCCCCAAACCCTAAACCCTATAGACCCTAAACCCCAAAACCCCAAACCCTAGTCCTAACCCGAAGTTGGACCAGCCTCCTCTGAGGACCTTGGGCGAGTTTCTGAGCCGATACAAGTTCCCAAACCTTCTGGCCGCCATCAGGCAGAAGAAAGGCTCAGCTACCAGGGGGGTTCGGGATTTCGGGTTTAGGGTCAAGTTTAGGGTTGGTTCAGGGTTCGGGCTTTGGGGGATGGAGGCAGGGGGGGGGGGGGGGGGGAATTCAGATTTCGAACCCAAAACCCAAAACCGTGCTGACATCTGGACCTCCCAACTACCCTTCAATAACAGGGACTTATATACGCTACTGTTCTGGTTGAAGGGTCATTAGGGGGTACTGGCATAGTTACTAGTTAACTTGAATGAACTGTAAGATCCCTAAACCTTAAACCTCATTCGAATTATGAAGCCCCCACCCCCCAACTACCCTTCAATACAGGGGACTTATGTACCCTACCATTATCGTTAAAGTATCCTGCATGACAGGGGAGAAGAGAGGAGTGAGATGGACGCATCGGAATCCTCGCCTGCTGCGCGCGAGTGCGAGAGTCGATACCCTAAGCCCAAAACCCAAACACCCTATACTCGAAACCCTAAACCCTAAACCATTCCTCTTGTTTGTCCTACACAGACCAACGGACCTTGCCTGCCTTGCACGAGAGTGAGCGACTAAACCCTAAACCCCAAACCCTAAACCCAAAACCCAAACACCCTAAGCCCTGCTTTCGGCCAGGCATGGGTGCGGTTGCCTGCGCGGTTGGGTCCGGAGACACCGCCACTTTCCTCACAAAGCTTCTCCGTTTTGGGTCGTACAGTGTAGGGTTTAAGGTTTAGGGTTTTAGGGTTTTTAGGGTTTAGGTTTTTTGGGTTATGGTTTTTAGGGTTTAAGTTTTTTTGGGGTTTAGGGGTTTTAGGGTCTAGGGGTTTTAGGGTTTAGGTTGTTTCGGGTCTTACAGTGTCACTGTGCTTAAGTTAAAGAAATTGAAACCCAAGTACGACTCTACTTATAGTATCTAGAGTGCGCCGTCCAACCCACCCCCCCCCCCGCCCCTCCCCACCTAAACCCTAAACCCTAAACCCTAAACCCTAAACCCTAAACCCTAAACCCTAAACCCTAAACCCTAAACCCTAACGTCAGGAGATGATCACCAACATGGTCCAAGCTGGGGCGCCCATAGACACAAGGCCGACACTCCCAGGGGCGAGGATTTCGCTTGAGCTCCCCGAAGGAAAAACAAAACCACAGAGAACTTCGCACCTGTGACCTGCTGGTAACAAGAATCCGGCGCAGGGTTTAGGGTTTAGGGTTCAAAGGGTTTCGGGTTTATAAGGGTTTAGGGTTTAGAGTTTAGGGCTTAGGGTTTAGGATGGTTTAGGGTTTAGGGTTTCCGGTGGTTGAGGCCCAGCATTTCAATTGAGGGACCCTCTGACACAAACGGTCCCAAACTGAAACAAGTCCCGCAGTCCCGTAGCATCCGCCTCTGAAAGTTCTTTGAGCCTCCCTAAACCCTAATCCTAAACCCTAAATTCTAAACCCTGAACCCTAAACCCTGGAGGTTTCCGGACATGCCAGAGGTGGATTTGTGGGCCGGCTTCACGTGCCTTGCTGGTGGAGCTAGCTCGACTTGACGTGTAGAGAGGGATCTAGGGATTCGAGGGACGTAGTCCTTAAATGAAGCAGGGTTTATATTACTGTTTTTGGTGAGTGTATATAAGGTTCCGTTTTAAAATTGGTGAGTGTATATACCTGGTGTCTTTTTGGGGATACAAGAAATATAAACCCTACTTCACATGAACCCTAAAAGGGTTTATGGTTCATGTATCTGAAGAGGATTCATGTATATGACCCCAATCATAGGGTTCATTCCGTCCCCAAGGACAGGCCGGAGTTTAGCTGCCCATGAGGCCACTCTTCCTGGCCGCCATGCGCAGCTTCATTTGCGAAGACACCCTGCTGCATCTCCTGCGTGCCTCGGACGTCAACATGCCAAGCATTTTAAAAAGTCGCTCGGGGTTAGAGTTTAGGGTTTAGGGCGCTCCCCTCATCAGGCCCCTGCATCCTTCATCTCGTACGGCGGGCCGATTCCTTCAAAAACTTCAAACCCCGACAAAACCTTGAACTCAACAATGCACCCACACTAGATTTGCTGAATCCGAAAAACCTGTAGAAGCTTGTGTTATGAGTTCTGAGTTTGCCGGGAGCACGCGCACCTTGAAGATCAGTGTGTGGCATGCCTCAAAGCCGCCGCTGCTGGGGGCAAACCTTGACTGCCGCACCAACCTCTACGTATGGGGGTTTCCGAAATTTGGGGGACCTTTTTGGGGTGCTTTTTATAAGGGAATCCGACTAGTTGGGGTTTATATTAGGGGTCCCTTCTTTTCGTAAGCCCCTATATCGCTCTCATTTCGCACACCCAATGGTCCTAAGGTCCTCATTCTCTTAGCCCTCAGCCAGACCACTCTCAGCCCGAAACCCTAAAGACCTCGTCAAGACGAAGATCCTCAGAAGCCTTGCCTGTTGCACGCGAGAGTGCACGACGAAAGACCTTGAAGCCAGCCCTAAACCCTATACACCCTATAAACCCTATCAACCCTATATAAACCCTAGAACCCTAAAAATCCAAAAAAACGAGAAGAAAAACAAAAACATCCTAATTAAACCCTCCAAACCCTCTAAAAACCTAAGCTATAAACCCTATAAACCCTAAAACCCTAAACCCCCTAAACCCTAAACCCTAGATCCTATAAACCCTATAAAAGCAAACCACTCTGAACCCCATAGAAGCCTAAGCTATAAAACCTATAAACCCTGAAAAACCCTAAACCCCCTAAACCCTAAATTATCCTATAAGCCCTAATTACCCTCAACACTAAAACAACCCCTTAAACTGGAAGGCGAGAAGGCCGATCCCAACGCCACCTGCGCCATCGGCACGGTCGCGCTTGGAACCTGCTACACCGCCGGGGGGCTCTGTTTGGGTTTGGGGTTTTAGGGTTTGGAGTTTAGGGTTTAGGGTTTAGGGTTTGGAGTTTAGGGTTTCGGGTAGGGTTTAGGGTTTAGGGTTTGGAGTTTAGGATTTAGGGTTTAGGGTTCAGGGTTTAGGGTTTAGGGTTTAGGGTGTAGGGTTTAGGGTTTAGTGTTCGGAGAGCATCTGTGTGAACCTATCGTTTCGGAGAACATCTGGCTGCGGTGCACAGCAGAATGTGTGTGTGTGTGTGTGTGCGTCTATATATAAATATATTGTCGGTTTTGGTTGGGGCTTGAGGTTTCGGGTTGAGGGTTTAAGGGGCAAAAACTTCGGGTTTCGGATTGTTGGAACTGGATATCCATGGCAACTGGGCCGAAGCGAGATTTATGTCTCCTTCACAGCAGTTTCGGTAGCTGTGGCAGACTCCACCCCCCCCCCCCCCCCCCCCCCCCCCGACCTTCGACTGACGCACATCGGCCTAGCCCCTGAAAAGCCTAGCAACCGCATCGGGTCCAGAATCTACCTTATTAAGAACCCCAAGGCTACAACAGTAGGTTACCTAAGAATCCTGCAAGGTGTTTGTTTTGTTTTAAGGTTTTGTCTTTAATCGTAATATCCTGCAAACAAGTAGGAAGGTAAAGCTTGCTTCACAACTCAGGCGAGCGCTGTGTCGCTGATGGTGGCGCAGCGCGCCGCGCCTCGGCGTACGTTTGTTACTATTTAGGGTTTAGGGTTTAGGGTTGAGGGATTAGGGTTGAGGGTTTTAGGGTTTAGGGTTTAGGGTTTAGGGTTTAGGGTTTAGGGTTTAGGGTTTAGGGTTTAGGGTTTAGGGTTTAGGGTTTAGGGTTTAGGGTTTAGGGTTTAGGGTTTAGGGTTTAGGGTTTAGGGTTTAGGGTTTAGGGTTTAGGCGCCCCTATGCAACTTGACTTCGGCAGGGTGTTTCGGGGTTGGCTTGTACGGCTTTGCTCGGGGAAGGTTTCGAGGCCGCAGTGTCGGACTTGAGAGGCCTAGGTTCACCGGCTTGGTGTCGGCCTCGTTAGGTGCGCATGACTAGAATTTTGTCTCTAAAGGTGCCATGTGCAGGCTTGCATTGCAGCGAATTGAAGCTTTCCGACACGAAATGGCCCTGATTCAGAGGTGCTGTAGCAAAGGAAGCTTTAAATTTCAAATTCCGTGGCTGCACGTTTGCCCAGGACGTCAACATCTGTCTGCCGCCGAGCAAGTGCCGCCCGGCTTTCTTATTTTCGGAAGGAGGTGGGCAGAAGATGGCGAGGGTGCCCAGCAGCACTCTGTTTCCGTTGCCTCTTTGTGAGCTATTCGGATCCAAGCAAGGGGCACGTCAGAGGGTTATGTTATGGGATGCGCCCCTCTTATCTGCAACCGCCAGGAAGTGTAAAGCCACTTCATTTGATTCCACAAGCCGTAAACCCTAAACCCTAAACCCTAAACCCTAAACCCTAAACCCTAAACCCTAAACCCTAAACCCTAAACCCTAAACCCTAAACCCTAAACCCTAAACCCTAACCTGCTTTGAATAGCAGGCTCCCCACTTTCAACCCTCACTGGTCGCGGCGCTCAGCCAAAGGCACGGGCATGGGTGTTTAGGGATGTATAGGGTTTCTTGAACAAGGCTTAGGGTATAGGTTTTCGCGTGCAAGGTGTCAGGGCTTAGCGTTGACAAGGGTTTGCGGGGTGTCAGGGGTTCGGGCTTTATGGAACGTCGGTATTCGTAGCCAAGAGGGTAACCGGGTATGAAGGACACCTTGCACACGAAGTGAGAGCCGCGCGAGGCGGTGGCTACACTCATCGCACTCCGCGGCGACGTGAACAATAGAGGCCTGCTACCACTGGTCTGGCTAGAATCTAGGGTGCCTTATATACCGTTTATTTCGGGATTTCCGGTGTCGGGTTTAGGATTTAGGGTCTTCTTGTTTAGGGTTTAGGGTTTGGACGTCAGAAAGCGGGGTTCTTGGCGTCGTGCTCCATTTCATCCGCCTGGAAGTGCATGGGCATCCGGGCCTAGGCAGCATCGTGAGACCGGGGGACCAAGTCAACCATCGGCCTGCCCCCAATGATTTGCTTTTCCCCCAAGAGCAAAGGCGAGAGAGAGAGAGAGAGGGAGAGAGGGACTAGGGAGGGAGAGAGAGACTAGGGAGGGAGGGAGAGAGGGAGGGAGAGAGGGAGGGAGAGAGGGAGGGAGAGAGAGAGAGAGAGCGAGAGAGGGAGACCCACTGAAGCAGCAGGCCGTCATGGCCGGGGTAACCTTAGGGGACTCCTCCGTCGCGTAGAAGAAGAAAAAGCAGACCCTAAACCATAATTAGGCTTAGAGTTTAGGGCGTGTAGGTGCGCATCGCACGTTAAATCGAACACCTGCGTGCTGGTACCAAAGCCACCGAAAACCAGCTTTTGAGTTATGGGATTTGTGTCGTCTCGGACTGTTGGGTTTGAGGCAGAATTTCTTGACTGGATGTAGGATTCAAGTTTGGGGACGGAGTCTGGTCTACTGGTCGCACCGCCTAGCCTAATTCTGAACCGGCAGTACGAATAGGCGCTTTCGTTGGAGCCGGTGAAGGTCAACAAGAGCTCGCCAAGCCTTGTTCGGGTTTAGGGTCTAGGGTTTAGGGAGCGCTGAGGTCTTCATGACATAAAGTTCTACCCGACATCCCCCTTATGTACCTCTTGAAAGGATGATATGATTGGGAGCCGACACCCAAAAAGCCTTCCTAAACCCTACACCCTAAACCCTGTCAAAGAGTCGACAGGTTGCACGCCTTTGACTACACTCGCTTTCATGTACCAGGGCCACATGCATGCGCTGGAATCTGGCCAGCAAGCTGCGGGGTCTGACCGCTAACTGGGCTCACATTTTTCTGATATGTGGGGAGCCTCATTCTTGTATGTTTTCTTTGCTTTTGGGTTCGAGGTTTCGCACAGGAAGTGCAGGCAGGGAGCGAGGGAGAGATGAAGAAAGAGAGGCAGGGAGGCAGGGAGGGAGGGAGGGAGGAGGGAGGGAGGGAGAGAGAGAGAGAGCCGAAAGTACGGAAGAGAGCATTTCAGAGAGAGAGGGAGAGAACAAAACAAGTGGGAGAGGGAGGCGGGAGGCAGGAGGACCTAGAAAAAGGGTTTAGATGGGGGGGGGGGGGGGGGGGGGGTCCGAGTTGTTTGACTCAGCTGACATGCACAGCTCCCGTCTTCTCAATGACATCAAGTTCTCTGTCCCCTGAAGTCACGGCCAGTGTTTTTGTGGAAGGCAAAAGTTATTCCAGATCACACTTGGGCTTAAGCCCAAAAGGGCCAGGTGCCTTTGACGGGAATTCTTGAGACCGTCTGCGGATAAGGAGACGGCGCAGGTCCTTCTGGACGCAAAGGCGCGACCGTTAACAGCTTCAGACTTCAGGGCTGCGTGGGAAGTAGAGAGGGTTTAGGGTTTCTGGCTTGCCTTCAGTCCAGTTGCAAAAAGGCTTTAGGGTTCAGGGCTTAGGGTTCAACACCCTAAAACTACCTCCGCCAGGAAGAGACACGTCAAGACTCGCCTGTACCCTAAACCATTCGCATGAGTACTTTGGTAGTCCAGGCAGTGGCTTAGGGCTTAGAGACCTTGTAGAGCTTGGGTTTGCATGGTTTGTGGGAGGCTGATGTGAACCTGGCACCCACGAACAGCGCGCTTTTCAATGTTTTGGAGGGCCTCGCCCGGGCATACACCACTGTTGCCAAGGAGTTTTGTGGGCGGTGGGATTTCTGAGGGGTGATGGTTTAGGCTCAGGAGCCTTGATCTACTGTTTGCTCAAGAACCCCCAAAAGCAAAAAACATTCTTCCTTATAAGGGGAGTCGAGGATTATTATCTTGTACCTTTGGGCGTTTTTCAAGCAAATGGTAGTGATGCAGGGTGTTGAGGTCTAGTTGTTCAAGTGTTTTCGTTGTTCAAGTGTTTTGGGATGCTGAGTTTTTTGGCCTAAACCTCCAGTATATCGTCTTGGTACTGGGATGCTCCCCCTTATGCTAATAGTCCTAAACCGAAATACGGATTATAGTGGGGGGGGGGGGTAATATACCAATCACGGACTGTCATTATAAGGCGGGGACATCCCAATTTTAGGGTTTAGGGCTTAGGGTTTAGGGTTTAGGGTTTAGGGTGAATCATCATGCACCCATAGCTCCCCTTGGGATTTTGGTCTCTTGAAGGCAACTCTCGGAACAGTAGTAGGCCTTGCGGTGTGGGCTGAGGGGCTTAGGATTCATGATGTTAAGCTTGGTTTAGGGTTTAGGGGGTTTAGGGTTTAGGGTTTAGGGTTAGCCCGGGTTCAAACAAGGGTCTATAGGGTTAAGGGTTCGCGGAGCTCATAAAACTGGTTCACCCAGCGGCCAGAGCCACGACTCCGAGGCCCACCATGCCACGCTCCCTACTCTTTGCTTAGGAACCCCAAAAGAAGAAAGACTACTAATCCCTATATTGCCCTTAATAAGGAAGAGCGTTTTGTCTCGATCACTACTCTTTGCTTAGGAACCCCAAAAGAAAAAGAGTACTACTCCCTATATATGACCCTTAATAAGCAAGAACGTTTTCATTTTCTCAGGGGTCTCGATCAATACTCTTTGCTTAGGAACCCCAAAAGAAGGAAGAGTACTAATCCCTATATATGACCCTTAATAAGGAAGAACGTTTTCATTTTCTCAGGGGTCTCGATCCCTACTCTTTGCTTAGGAACCCCAAAAGAATAAAGAACACTAATCCCTATATTACCCTTAAAAATGAAGGATGTGTTCATTTTTTGGGGTTCTTAGTTCTGAAGCATATTACCCTTAGTAAGGAAGAATGTGTTCATTTTTGCCGGGTTCTTCTAAGCAACTAGTAGCTCAGGAGCCGCCCTTCCTTGTGAAGTTCTTCTCGAATGCCAGCAGCAGCTTGGCCTCGGCTGCAAGACTCCACAAGAACCCAGGTAGGCTCCTGGGACATTTTCTGTATGTTCCCTAAACCCTAAACCCTAAACCCTAAACCCTAAACCCTAAACCCTAAACCCTAGTTGGGTTTAAGAGGATCATGTTCAGGAATATGTTTCAGAGGGTTTTAAGGGCCATCCTGGAAAAGCTGGCTGCTTGGTGATAGCCGGGCTGCTCAAGGAAAGTTCGGGATGTTCCCGCAGCAACGAACGACAAGAGATGGGGATTTGGGGCATTTTCCGAAAATGGGGGTACCACAAAGATACCCCCAAATACTATAAACTTCATTTCTAGGATCCCCCAAAAAAGGGCACCCCCCTATTTTCGGAAACTCCCATTTGCTTACTGCAATCTCAGACAGCCAAAGCAGTGTGACAGGCTGACTTCATCCGGCTCATGCGGGTTGGGGAAGCCCAATTGGACTACCTGAAAAGGCTTTAGAGTTTAAGGGTTTAGTGTTTTGGGTTTTGGGTTTATTGTAGTACTGGGTACACAATCCTGTTTTGGCCGTTCATGTAGTTTCGAAGGTGCATGCGTTTTCGGAAGACTACATCTGCATGGTGAGCCAAGAACTCTCAGGGTCGTTACATGGTCCCTTAAAAGGGGACTCAGTATGTACCCCTTATGTACCCTATACAACCCAAAGGCCCATAAATCAGAACCCTCTACCAGAGGCAAGGGACCAGATTCACGACCCATAACGCTACCCCTAGAAGAACAGGCACGCCCTTGGGCTATGCGTCCCTGTGCGGCAACGTCGAGTACGTTGACTTCTTGCTGCAAGCTCGCGCTGACACTCAGAAGCGAAATAAGCGTGCCCCGGCCGGGATTCGGAGATGGGTTGGGCACTGATGTATAGGGTTTAGGGTTTAGGGTTTAGGGTTTAGGGTTTAGGGTTTAGGGTAGTTTAGGGTTAAATAAGGTTTAGGGTTTAGGAGGGTCGAGGCAAGGGTTCTGCGCGGTGTGGAGTATTCCTATCCTACCCCTTAAGTCGCAACGGGGATCCCAGATGTACCTTGACGAGGAGGGTATAGGGGTCTATGAGAACCGTAGAAGCGCCACCTACCCCAAACCCAACGCCTTACTACGTGCCCTGCAATGTGTCGCGGTTGTCAGCTGGTGGCAAAAGATACACCTTAAAGCCCTAAACCCTAAACCCTAAATCCCTAAACCCTTCTTTAAACCTAGGTGGCCAAACGCCCATCGACCTTGCCAAGTCTGAGAATGTGAGCCGGTCCTTTGATCTCTTGGGCGCCCTGGCTTAAGCTCCATATTCCCTGAAGCTCCAAACCCTAAACCCCAAACCCTAAACCCTAAACCCTAAACCTTACTATACGCCTTTAACCGATACCCTGCTGAACCCTACTGCGCTCTATAAACTCTAAACACAAAGCTTTCCGGTGAGTGTCTGTAGGAGGGTTACAGGGTCGAGACATCTCAGAAGTCGGCCCTCTTTGCTTGACCCCTCAACTGCCCCAAGCCCTAAACCCTCAGCCCTAAACCCTAAGCCCTAAACCCAAAACCCTAAACCCTATAAACCCTATAAACCCTATAAACCCTATAAACCCTATAAACCCTATAAACCCTATAAACCCTATAAACCCTATAAACCCTAAACCCTAAACCCTACCGCTCTGGCAACCCATCGGTCTCTTATAAGGTTGTGGGTTCAGGTTGAGGGTGGCATGTCCCACATGTAATTCTGGTCCTCCAACATCCGGTGTGAGGGTTTAGGGCTTGGGGCTTAGGGCTTAGGGTTTAGGGTTTAGGGTGTAGGCTTTAGGGTTTAGGGTTTCGGAAAGTTTCGCGACAGCTTCAGCTATACTCATTGCTTTCGCGGGTAGGGCAAGAAGAGCTTAAGCCGAAAAAGAAGAGTTTAAGCCGAAGAGAAGCAGCCCCGAGCCCCCTAAACCCTAAACCCCAAACCCCAAACCCTAAACCCTAAACCCTAAACCCTAAACCCTAAACCCTAAACCCTAAACCCTAAACCCTAAACCGTATCCAACGAAGGACACCATCCTGTCCACCAGCTCTTTGACGTGAACTCCCTCACTGCCGAGCTCCTCGAAGAGCGATTCTGACTGGCAGTGGCGGGGCACTTCTGCGGACGTAGGCGATGTGGGGTTTAGGGTTTAGGGATTCGTTTAAAAATGAACCCCGAAGAGCGTTTATGGTTCGCATGCCTTATGTCGTCGTATAGGGTATACGACTCATGATATGTCCCCATTTTCAGAGTCCAGTTGGTCCCCAAGGGATGCCTCGAACAAGAAAATGTCTGCAGTAGCAGTGCGCGCTGAGAAGGGCAACCTTAGAAATGAACCACGACCCGGGCGTAGCGCTGCTTTGAAGTCACTCAGGGATGTTCGAGGGGTTTAGGGTTTATAGGTTTTAAGGGGCTTAGGGAAGTTGCATGTGTGCCGGCAGCCTCAAAGTCCGTTGCTCAACAAGTAGGGGTTTAGGGTTTCGGGTTGGTTGCAGGCCGGTTGCTGAATGGGATTGGGGTTCATGTCAAGGCTGTGAAGCTTGTTAAGGAGGGTTTAAGGGTATAGGGGTTTAGGGTTTAGGGTTTAGATTTGGGTTTAGGAAGTATCTGCCGCAAACCACGACACTCAGGACAAACTCACCCCAAAGAGGAGCCATACTCACAACAGCACGAGGAAGCAAGGAAAGGAAGTTAGAAACATGAGGCGTGCCTCAATCAGGACCCTAAACCCTAAACCCTAAACCCTAAACCATCTGTTGTACAGGGAGCCGAGGCCCCACGTTCAGAGAAGTCTTGCGGGAGGACCCAAGAAAGAGTGCACGCCTGGGTGGTTGGGTTGTAGGTTCGCCTGCGATGCATCCGGAAGTGGCAACAAGGATCTGGTGTCGTAGGGTTTAGTTTAGGGTTTAGGGTTTAGGGTTCAGGGTTTAGGGTTTATTAGGGTTTAGGGTTTAGGGTTTAGGGTTGAAGAACAAGTTGGAGTTCCGCTAGGAAGCTGACAGCAGGCCTGATTGTTTGAAAGGACTGAAGTTGTTTACGTGGCTTTTCGCCAGCGTGTTGGTGAGCAAGCCGCTATGGCTATGGACGGCCAGGGTAGGTCCTACAGTTAGGGTTTAAGCTTAGGGTTTACGGGGTTTAGGGTTTAGGGTTCAGGGTTGAGGCTTCACTGATCGAGGGCTTCAAGAAACGAGCTACAGGTTTCATGGTCTAATTCTCGGCTCTCATCCCAAACCCCAAGCTCTTTCAAGGTTGTTGAGCGCGCACCCCCCCACCCTAAAGCAAATCAAAAATAGCAAGACAAATAAAACATAAATAAGTACGTACATGTATAAACAGCAAGAAAAGACCATGTCAATCTTAAACAGCGTCCATGTGCAGGGTTTGGGTGAACCAAACAGTCTTACAGGTTAATTACAATTAATCCTAACAAACACCCTTACACCCTAAGGGTCCATGAACCTGCATAGTATAGACGTGGGCGTTACAGCTAGCGTGCATTGGAACCCTTCAAGGCCCTCTTACATAATTTCTGTATAGGGTTTAGGGTTTAGGGTTTACTGTTTAGGGTTTAGGGTTTAGGGTTTAGGGTCTAGAGTTTAGCGTTTAGGGTTTAGGGAGGGTACAGCCTAAACCCTGGTGTGTCCCGGCTGCGGTGTGCAACCACCTGGCGTCGGCACTTGCGCCGTGCAGTGCCTCAGCAGCGCTCCGACAGACGTTTGGTTCTGGGGAGCCTGAAGGCTATAGGGTTTAGGGTTTAGGGTTTAGGGTTTAGCGTTTAGGGTTTAGGGTCTAGGGTTTAGGGTTTAGGGCTCACGACTTAAACCTAAGCGCTATAGGACATAGGACCCCGGTTGGGTTCATTCGGTCCCCAAAGAGTTAGGGTTTAGGGTTTAGGGTTTAGGGTTTAGGGTTGAGGCTTCACGCCCTCCCCGTGGGGCAGTGATTTGTGAAGGGATCATGGGCGTTCATGGGCACCATGCACATGCTTGCCATAAACCCTAAACCCCTAAACCCCCGACATCTCCAGTTCCCCCGAACCCCCCCTCCCCCCCCCCCCCCCCCAAAAAAAAAAAAAAAAAAAACTAAACACTATGAACCCTATATGGGTTGGTGGCCTCTTTAAGTAGAGTTTCTGTTTTTTATAGGGGGGGGATCTAGGGGCTACATTAAGGGATAAGGGTAACAGACAAGGAGGCCACCGGCCTTCATCATATAAACCCAGTAAGCCCCTTGCCTGCTTCATAATTCGGGTCATGTTGAAGTGTGTTGGGCTGGGAGGGACCCTGGGGCGGGGGTTCCGAATACCATTTAAGGTGCATACTCCTAAACTCTGAACCCCAAACCCTAAACCCTGAACCCCAAACCCCAAACCCTAAACGGCAGCTCCGATTAAGGGGGGTGGGGGGGCCGGGGGGGGGGACTGGCGGTTCCATTTGTAGGGTTTGAAGGGCTCTTAGGGCTTTGAAGGGTTCACAGGGTCTTTGGGTGTTACAGGATTGACAGGGTTTACAGGGTTTTGGGGCGTGTCACATGCTGTGGGCAGACCTCCACACGGGACCTGTGTTGCGCCAAGGTTCGCGTTCCCTCCCAACCCCGCCCCCCTGCACGCTCGCTCATCGCAGTGCAGCTGTCGGTAGTTCGGCTCAGGGCATCCGGAAGTAGAGCACGTGATTCGAATCCACACGCGCTTCAATGTAGATTCAACTTGCAGGTGCCCTGTTTAGAGCATTCCTTAAGGGTCCAAAGGAAAAGGCAACCAAAACAGGCTATTTTTTGTTTTTGTCTCTGTTTAGGGTTTAGGCTTCTAGAGATGTTTAGGGTTTCGGGTTAGGCTTGCCGGTGACCTGTGCTTGCCGACGGGGCTTGATTTCCTATAAGCCATCGACCGGAAAAGAAACCTCAGCACGATGCCCTTGAATCCCCTAAACCCAGGGTTTAGGGTTTAGGGTTTAGTGTTTAGGGTTTCGGGTTTGCCTAAACCATCCTAAACCCTACAGTCTTGGATAAAGGTTAGAGGTATCGGCGTGCTGTTGTGTTTTCCATCCATAGGCTCTTGAGAGCCCAGCGTCAGATTGTGAGCTGTCTGCTGGTGAACGGATTCTATTCCTAGAACCCTGAACCTCGTCCACTGGGGTTTAGGTTTAAGGGATGAGGGTGTTCCACAAGCCGTTCAACAGATTGGACAAGCAGGAAATGTTTGTGGGCCTTGCCGCAAGTTGGCGCAGGCATTGGCTTTGGACCATGTTGTATTGCAAGAGCCCGGTGCCAGCCCCAAGTCCTAAACCCCAAACCCTAAACCCCAAACCCTAAACTCCAAACCCTAAACCCGAAGCCCCAAGCCCTAAACCCTAAAAAAAATCCCTAAACCCTAGGGTTCGCAGATTAGCCCTAAACCCCTTGGGCCCTGGAGCGTTAAGCTCGTGTTCGGCAGAGTCAAGCTTGGGGGCCGCTGTAAAGGCTTGTGAGTACCCTAAACCCTAAACCCTAAACCGAGGTACAGGGGGTGTAGGGTTGAAGGTTTAGGCTTTAGGCTTTAGGGTTTAGGGTTTAGGGTTTAGGGTTTAGGGTTTAGGGTTTAGGACAAGAGTTTAAGGTTTTAGGGCACGGGCATTATCTGGTCAGTTCTTGGATTTCAGAGGCAGGTGTTCCTTACATCTTGCCATGGACACCGCAACATCCCCTGGGGTGGACCGTCTGAGTCAGCCCCTGAACCCTAATTAGTGAAGGGTTTCGGGTTTAGGGTTTAGGGTTCAGGGTTTAGGGTTTAGGGTTTAGGGTTTAAGGCCTCTAAACTATCCAAAAACCCCTTAAGGACCTAAGCCCCCGCGCACCCAGAACCCCCAAAGCCGGAAACTCCCAAGCCCAACCACCCTAATTAAACCCTCGACCCTAAACCCGAAACCCTAAACCCTAAACCCTAAACCCTCAGTCCTAAACCACATCCAATGAAAACGGTGGCTCATGGGAATCCCGGCTCTTCAGCCGCCAGGGCTTAAACCCGAGAACGTCTGAAAGCAGCGAAGTTTACAAAGGTGCCTCAGGGGCTTTTTAGGGATTTTGGGTTTTTGGGTCAAGGGTTTTAGGGTTTGGGGTTAAGGGTCTAGGGTTAAGATATTGGGGTTATAAGGATTTCCCAGGACAGCTTCTTCTGGTGGTAAGGTTCCGTTAACAATGAGGTTTATATGTTGACAAACATGTGTTCCTCATGCGTTTCATACAAGGGTTGTCGAAAGAGCGACTGCTCACCTGAAATAATTCTTACTGCTTGGGCCATGAAGGGACTGTTGTGCTCAGGCGTTGGGTGCTCAAGGGTTTGGTTAGGGCTGAAGGAGGGTTTTGGGTTTAGGGTTTAGGGTTTCGGGTTTAGGGCTTAGGGTTTAGGGTTACAGGGTCAAAGAACTGCCCTCCCACTTGCACAAGCACGGCTGACTCGTCTTAGTGTTCACCCTCAACTCGTAATCTAGAGCGGTTCCAGGCAGGCAGTCCATATACTCTGAGCCCGAAACCCTAAACCCTTCGAAACCCTAGCAACCCTACACCCTGAATCCTCAACATGCTTCTTCCGGTTTGAACATGATTTGTGTTTTTTTTGTCGCCTTTATGGTCCTTGTAAAGTTTTATGGGGCCCCCAAGCCAACCCTAGTTTGGAGGTGTGGTGTCGAAGGTTTGAAGGCTGCAGCTTCTGGAATGCCCCGGGCCACCGTTGGGATGTTCAAGGGGGTTTCGGGTTTGCCAGTACTGTAGGGTTTAGGGTTTAGGGTTGAGGGTTTAGGGTTTAGGGTTTCGGGTTTCGGGTTTAGGGTTTGGGGTTTAGGGTTCAGGGTTTAGGGTTTGGGGTGTAGGATTTGTGGCCCCGGCTCTTTGAGATGAAGGTGGGAATTGACCACAAGCCTAGAACTGGAACCGCCCTAACCTTGAGCCGCCTGGGCCCCTATAAACTCCTAGACCCCCAACCTCTATACCCCTATACCCCTAACCCCGAAACCCCTAACCTAAACCCCTATAAACCCTAAACCCTAAATCCGAAACCCTAGCCCTAAACCCTAAACCCTAAAAAACATCCCTGCTGACTGGTTCGTCCAGCTATGCGGGTGCCAA